ACTCTTGTGCCATTTTCTGTTAGCTTTTGTTCTTAGCGTCACTGAACTTCAAATAGAAGTGAAGCTTATCCGCAATGATATATTATAATATGCATTGCATGGAGTAGGTTATTTTCTTTGATTAAACGAAACATATGAGTTAAAAAATAAATTGTGAAGTATTCTTAATGTTTTTATGAAAAACAAATTTGATATCATTCATAGAAAAAGAAAAAAATTGAAAAAACTGATTTGAAAAGCGATCTATTCTCCTTTTTATGATTGCCATTTTTGTTTCAGAGAATTTTCTAAAAGTTCATAGATTGTACCTGTTAGAGCATTATATTGGGCACATTTTCTGAAAAATTCAAAAGATTCTGTTCAGTGACCTTCCCTATTTCCTACTTTTAGCTATTTTTCAGTCACATTTTCAAAGGGCTGAAAAGGTTATTTCATCATGTTCAGGGTCATTCTGACCATGCACATTGTGATTCTGGTCCTGTAATTGATATGTGAAAATAGTTAAATTGACTGGAGGTCAAAACAGAACTCTGTTATCTTTGTTCAAAAAATCTCTAAAAATGCCAAAATTTTTGTCACTTCCTGTTTCGTCATTTCCTGTTAAGTATCATGGCACCTTAATGTCGGATAACTAGTTAGTAATTTCAATACTGGCAAATACTCAATTCCATTGATGAACCGGCATTAATGGATTACTGTTAGCCTCTCAAAAGCCCTTGAGCAAAAGGTCCTTTTTTGAATATCAGTGACCATCTTTAAAATTTCTTCAAGAGCAAAGCTCCTTTGTCCCTAGATCACAGTGTTATAGCATGACGGTTACGTGAAGGCGATTTGCAAAACTTTGCGGTAACGATAACAAAAAATGGCGGATGGGAAAGGCAGCATGTCCTCTTTCTCGCCTGTAAGCAATATTCACAGATAAGATTTCCTTTTAAACTAGTTCCATTCGGTGACGTATATATGGATGGTTATAAAGACCGGGTCAAATCTGCCAGGTGGTCTACAAGAAACAGAATATAAGCTGTATACCTAACGACTGAGATATCAAAGTTCATAATTTTTTGTCCATTCTCGTGTTTTCTCAGTACATGTGCCTCAGAACCACTCAAAGTATTAACTGTAAGTAAACTGTGTATAAACAAGGCAAAAAATGACAAATCCAGAACAGGAACATGGAGAATATCGTAAATAATAAGGTTTCAAACGCAATGTCGCAAAGTGTAAAAGATAGCAATGAAGAGATTAAGGATCAAGTACATGTACTGATGAAGATGACAAAATTAATACATTATTATGGCTTGAGTATATAGAACATATTAAGTGGTTTCCAATGCTCAATTGGCTTTGTATGATTGTATGTAGGTTACATCTATATACCCCAAGGTTTTTAGGCAATTTTATGTAGACCATGCCCTAACAACAAAAATAAACAAATTACTAAATTTTGTGTAGTTTTGAATTTCAAACTCGACAGTTTTTCTCTTATTTCATGCTATCCCCAGGAATTAATTTGCAAAGACTACCTTCAAAATATACATTACTGAATGCATCACCGAATGCAACGCTTACATAAATCGTTCATCCTTTCATTGATACACAGTAAAAGTAGAAAATAATGCACCAACCTTAGTTTCTCTTCCATCGTAGCCATTTTATTGGATAAATCAGTTAACGTAGCCGTCCAACCTCGTTTTCAGAGGTGGCGTAACCGCCATGCTATAACACCGTGTAGATTGTGCATTAGCATATAACCAACCAACCAGCCAGCCATATAAAACTTGTATTGTATTTGGTATTTAGATTCAGATTGATCAAAGATTGCATTTTTACAAAAAATGGTGGCCATTTGAAATGAGCAGACATGAAAATATTCCCTTTGATAGATGAAAATATAGCCCCCTCCATCAAAAATATTAGAATTAGGTCAGGCCTTTTTGGAAGAAATGAAGCTAGCCTGATGAAAGCCTTTTGACAAAAGTTCAAGCTTTCAACTCAAAGCCAAATCTGAAAAATCATCAAAATATTTTGAAATAAAAAACTGATTAATTATTCACATTTCATATCAGTTTTCTATGAACTTTATTTAGATCTATAATTTTATTTGGGCAATAACAATAACAAACATAATTTCAATACATACTTACATAATGTTGATCAGGAAGATCTATTCAATAGCCTAACATTTTTCCCTCAAAGATTTTCTGCCAAGGCTGTGTCTTGTGTATCTGTCTGCTGATGACTCATCAAACAAACAGGGTCAAAGGTCAACATGTCAACAAAACTTCTTGTGTCATGGCAACCAAGCATATGACAAGCAGAAAGCAGTGTAAGATACAGAATTCTCAGAAATATGTGTCATCAAACAAACCATGTAAACAAAGCTTGTGCCATGACAACCAAGGTCATAAGTATTAGCAGACAGCAGGAAGCAAAAGACCAAAAGACTGACTGATGTGATTTTAGAACAAAATTGTTGCAGAATTTGGGGTATGTTTTCATGATATTATATAAATTATTATTTTTTGAATATAAACAACTAATATGCATAACATAATTTAAAATATCTTAGAATATTTAAGAATGAGCTAATGATACTGCAAGATCAATCTTCAACTAAAATCTGGGACAAAAATTGTCAGAATTGAAAAACTGAAAATGGGCCTAGGAAAGCTATTGGAAATTGAAATTATTCTTAAGACATTTGTAAAGATTACAGTTGAGCTGGATGGAATTTGGGGTAAATATGAAATAGCTTGTGTTCCATTCATTGCTGAAAAAAATTACAGTTTTGTCTTTTGTGATTTTCAGAATGCTGGAAAGGTGTCAAAGGCTAAGCTTAGATGCATTAGCCAGTTGCTAAAAACATACTTACCACTTGACTCCCAATTAGAAGATGGAATAGTGATTCTGTGGACCTAAACTGTTTTTCATGTTGTGACTGTAGCGAGTAGGCCTCGTATACCCTCTTCACCTGGATCGGTATTGATGTTTGCATGCTGAGGACCTTGATATAACAATACAACCATATGTTTCCTCGTGACATTCATCAAAGGAAACTTTTGCCGTACTCTACGTATGTACATGTGTATATAGGAACTAGTATGTATAGTCATATACATTGATTACGTCCACCAGTTGATATTCTGACACAAGCGTCTCTTCCAATCAATCAATTTGTCATAGTGAAAATCACTTGATGAGGAATTTTACACAAACAACCAAAACCCTCAAATTCCTCATGGGAGCCAAGGATAGCTACTACTACATGTCATAGTTACATCTGGATTACAACATGTACAATGGAGTAACCTGTTGTAGTTAAGAGCTCGGGAAATCTGTGGATACTTCAAGTCAACATAGGAGCTCCAAATAATAACACTACTGCACTAGGCCACTGGGTGACAATAAATTCAAGTCAAAACCAAAATAAAATACTTGACAACAAAATACAATCACCATGTTTATACAGTGTACTTATTAAATTAATAATAATAATATATTAATAATAAAAATAGTGCATATATTAAATAAAAAGTGGGATTATTAAAAATAAATACAAACTATAGATAGTAGAAAGTAAACTTTTGTTTATTCATTGCTGTACTGACTCTTGTAATATTTGTTCAGTTGGTAGAAAATTAAAACTTTTTTCTTCAAAATCCACAGAGCATTTAAATAATGAGCCAAAAGACTAAAAAAATAATGCTGGAATAAAATTAACATAAATTTTTTTGGACTTTATTTTTCCCCTGTTTTTATGTCAACACCAGAGACGTTGACATATTATTCTTCCTGGCAGTGGAATAATGATATTTGTAACAAATTCCATGCCCAGTTCAATATTTATATGTGACATGACCCTTTTAACAAGTTCTATGTAGTGCATAACTTCTGTAGCAAATTTTAAGCCCGGCATAAATTTTGGAACAAATTTTATGCCCGGCATAAATTTTGAAACAAATTTTATGCCCGGCATAAATTTTGGAACAAATTTTGTGCCCGGCATAAATTTTGGAACAAATTTTATGCCCGGCATAAATTTTGGAACAAATTTTATGCCCGGCATAAATTTTGGAACAAATTTTATGCCCGGCATAAATTTTGGAACAAATTTTATGCCCGGCATAAATTTTGGTCAAATCAAATTCATAAAATAGTGGAACTATATATTCTCATTATTTGATCAATTCTCATTTCAAAAAAAGGGTGTTATTTCAAGTCAGCCCTTGCCATGATACTCTATCACAGGCACCAGAGCTGGCAAATATTCATTCCATAAAGTCAATGAAACCTGTGAAACGAGCCGCAACGAGTCATTGCCCATGTCTCGGTGACAGGCTCCAGGGCAATACTTGGCAAATATTGACATTCTGTTTTTAATCAAAGTGTTAATTGAAGTATTGTTTATTTTTGACATTGTTTATTGCACTGGATCATTTTTGGGATGTTGGGGTGTGTATCACAAGTCGTTAAAGTTTGGATGTAATGTCTTTAGAATACTGTGCTTTTTTTTTGGGCTTATAGCCACTGGTCCACACTCCACAGCAGGATGATTCTTAATAGAGATAGTATCACATAAGTTAAGTCATTTTCTTTAGAATTTCCAATTCATGAGATGATTGAGGATTTCTTTTTACTTGTTTACAATCGAAATATTTTGGATCCAGATTTTACATGGTTGAGCTGAAATCAAAGGTTATCAACAGCGAACAAATTTTGACCACCATTTTGGATGATACTAACTCACTCTGCTGTTGACAAGTGACAGCACTTAGATATTTACTAAACTACATCCCCAAAATGCAATCTGATTTTTGACACCGTTTCGGTGGCAAATTTCTGTGCCCTCTCTGCACAAAATAGACTGACTAGCCCGGTGCCAAATGTTGGTGCCGAGAGGTTTCGGTGCCGGAATGGTGCCGAAACGCTGCCAGAACAGCGCCAATTTTTTTCGATGGCGAAACGGTGCCGAATTATATTGGCTGTGTAAATAAACTTACCATGCCAGGTAAAGATGTTACATAGTTCTTTTGTAGTTTATGAAAGTGAGTTGTCATCCAAAAGGCTTCAGTTTCATTTTCAGCTATTTCTAACATAGCACCAGCGATTGACAGAAATGCTTTGTTTTCTTCAGCGTCAAGCTGAAAAGAGACACATACAAGGCATTTGTACAATGGTAAAATGTATAAATGCAATGTTAAAGCAAGGATCAACATACTGAAGTTAAAATGAATTGAAATACATATAGGATAATCTAGCTAAAATACAAGGAAAGCTATATATCAAAGCACCTCTCAATGTGAACATGTTTTCTTTGTCACAATTTTGTTACGCGAAAGCCAGGATTAACAGACTGAAGTTAAAATGAATTGAAATACCAGTACATATAGGATAATCTAGCCAAAGTACAGGGAAAGCTGTATATCAAAGCATCGATCTAATCCGAACACCTCTCAATGCGAACACTTTTCCCAATTTTGTTATCTCTCATTGACTCACTATATGAACACCTGCTAATTGGAATACCAATTGGATTGTCCTAGTTGTGTTCAGATTAGACAAGTTTTCCTGTATCCTGTGAAAACTCTTTGCAAGAACATATGCAATCCAATGATAATATGCAATGTAGAAATGAGAGGCTGCAATTCCGTCATATTGACATGACCATTAAAAAATTTAATTTTAAATGTGATTTTAATTCAAAATCATATTTTCAAGATGATCAGATCTCAGAAAACATTTCTCAGTCTAAATCAGAATCAACAATGAATAAAATATACATGCAGTGATCTCCCCAGGATTTTTTCTCAGGTGGGTGCAAAGTTCTCATTTTCACAATTTAGACTAAAATTGGTCAAAATATGTAAATTTTTTCATGATTTTTCTCATTTTCAAGTGGGTCCAAATGGATTTTCAGATGGGTGCAAGGCTGTTTTCAAAATGTCAGGTGGGTGCTGCGCCCACTTGCTTTAATGCTGGGGAGACCACTGTACATGTATTTCAAATATTTTTAAACTAAGTTTTTGATATTACTTACCATCTTATCATCATCGAACAGTAACGTTCCTTCATTAACATGATGCATTTTCAGGAACATAGTTGCTAATTCTGTATCTTTTGTTATTTTTCTCATTAGTTTTAGAGCATGGTGGAGTTCATTGTAGCGCTCCAGTAGTTGATCTTGTGCAAATGTATGTACATCTGTTTGCTTGGGGAGGACACCTAAAATACATAACAACATGTTATATAGGAAATTCTTACATTTTGGGTGTAAGGACATATGACTGTTGAACCTCAGCCTCCTCCAAAAATGGATCAGTTTAAATGTAGATTTGGTGTTCCCATGTGTATGTAGGTAATATTTCAATTTTAATTAAACTAAACTTAAATTAAAATCTTCTTAGAGAAATCTTTAGATTTTAGCTGAATATATGACCAAATGCATATGATTAGCAGATCCGCCAAGTTGTTTAAGTATGCCAAATTCCCCTGTAATTTCAGTACCATTAATAATATTGCCAGTCTGCCAAATTAAGTAGACACCAAATGTTAAAAAAAACAGCAAATCTGCCAAAATAAGTAGAAGTACTGTTATAAACAATAGAAAGATGTACATCAAACCAATAAAAAGCTCCATCTCTCCTTAGCAATACTTATGCAACAAGGAATTAGCAACCCTGAGTGAAACATGCAATCGACTGGCATATACCAATTTTGTTACAATTGTGCTGAAGACAAGCACTATAACAAGAGTTTGAATATTACCAATATTCGAAAACTAGACATAGGCGTAGCCAGGAGGGGGTGCAATGGTGCGATCGCACCCCCCCTTCACCATAACCAATGAAAATATATCATTAGATAGGGGAAGAAAAAAGCTTAAATATGCTTTTTATTTGAAGCTTCTAGCTCAACTTTGAAGAAAGTTACATCAATTTTTGTAAAATTCAAAACGAATCTTTATTTTTTTGGGTTGCTAATACCACGAGCACACCCCACTGACTGAAAACCAAATTTTTTTTGGCGATCCCACCCCCCTGACTGAAAGCTGGCTATGCCCCTGCTAGATAATGTTCCTCTTCCGACTTCTAAATACTTGGTCTGAAGATAACATTATGCAATGTACCAATTACTCCAACCATTCCAGATCTTTGCGAATACTAGTTGTAATTCTGTTCACTATAGATTGCTTAAAACACACCTCAGCAAGTCACAATTAGGCCTACATGTACTGGCACTGGAGTTAATACACAATTATTCGGGACTCCTTGTGACTTGTCTGTCCGTCAAAGGACTGATTCTGATGTATATCAATAACGCAATTCCAAGCAAAGAATAACCTTTGAAGTGATCACAGAGCCTTCAGTGGGAAACAAGAACCCGATCATATGATTTATTTGGGACCCCCCCACTCTGTCTAGTGTCTGTCGATAAAATTTATTTGGAAATTTTCTTACCGAGCAAAACTTTCCACACCAAATTCCTATAAACGACAGGTAAGGGAAATCGCAAACAAAATTGTCCTAGCTTCCTGAGATCGAGAGGTGTCTCCTTCAATAATATTTCGATAGATTTCTTCTCATCCACGCCTCTAAAGCCCACTTTATCATAATAATATGAGCGAAAATTTCTTTCTGCCTCAGCCATTTCATATGTAGGTCATTTTTGAAAGATCAGTCTAAGCGATCAACATATTTGGTTTGACATTCGGATTCGGTAATCGGTATGGCATAATCTTCATGAGTTTATAACATGTGATTAATTTTTCCTCATATTGACGGGAATATGAAGAGTTTCCATAATAATGTCAAATTTCACTTCTCATTCTCAAAATGTTATTGGAAATTATAATGTTGATCGACTAGCTTTACCTTATTTACATTGATGACCCAAATTAGCAAGTAAAAGATGGGAGAAAAAGTTAGTCCTCAAGTAAGGGTTTTAAACACCCTTAAAACGTCTAGTGAACCGAATAAAATTGCAGTTGGCCTTTCTAAGGATTTACAGAAGACAATGTTGAGGTAATGTAAAGATTATATTAGATCTATGTTGGACATTTTAAAAACAAATAAAGTCTCAAACTTCAAGTCAAGTTCAAGTCGAATTTTATCTTTTTTTGGACGTCATGGGGAGTACATGCAAGTCATCACTCCCTTTTACATTCTCTAATTATCAGGGCCGTCAGATGGGGGGGTGCGATGGGTGCGACCGCACCCCCCTTTGTCACCCCCCAAAATAAATTTGAAAAAAAAAATTTGAAAAATTTTTTTTTTTGAAAAATATTTTTTTTTGTAATTTTTTTTCATTGACTCATACACTTTGAAAGTACCCAGAAAGCACCAAATAGCATCGTAAAATTGTAAAATTTTCTAGGGGTATTGGCCATCCCTCACACCCCCCACAAAACAATGGAAAAGTTCTAAATTTATTTTAGAGTTTTGTCTCAGACACTTTTAAAGTGCCCAGATATCATCAAATAGCTCCTTGATATACATTAGTTAGTGTTTCTGGGAGACTTACCCCTCTTGCATCTTGCACTTGCATAACAACCCCCCCCCCTCTGGCGCCCCCCCCCCCCCTTGACCCCCCCCCCCAAAAAAAAATTGTGATTTTCTCAAATTCTTTAATTGACTCATACATTTTGAAAGTGCCCAGAAAGCACCAAATAGCGTCGTAAAATTGTAAAATTTTCTAGGGGGAGTGGGCCACCCCTCACACCCCAAACAAAACAATGGAAAAGTTCTGAATTTGTTTTTTGTATTGTCTCAGACACTTTTAAATTGCCCAGACATCATTAAATAGCTCCTTGATAAAGTTAATGATTCTGGAAAACAAACACTTACTTGCCCTCTGGCACCCTTAACACCCCCCCCCCAAAAAAAAAATTGAGATTTTTCAAATTTTTTTATTGACTCATACCCTTTGAAAGTGCCCAGAAAGCACCAAATACCATCTTAAAATTGTAAAATTTTCTTGGGAAATAGGCACTTTTAGGCACATACACTTTTAAAGTGCCCAAACTTCATCGAATAGCGCCTTGATATTGTAAATTTTGATATGGGGGACAAACACTTGCTCCCCCTCTGGCACCCCAGCCCCACCTCCCCCTCTGGCACCCCTCCCCCCTTTGACACCCCCAAAATTTGAGAAAAATTGTGATTGTTTTTCAATGTTTTTTATTGACTAATACACTTTAAAAGTGCCCAGAAGCACCAAATATCATCTTTAAATTGTAAAATTTTCTAGGAGAGTTAGCCACCCCTCACATCCCCCACAAAACAAAAGAAAATATTCTGAATTTCATTTATTGTCTCAGACATTTTTTAAGTGCCCAGACATCATCAAATAGCACCTTGATATGGTCAATGTTTCTGGGGGACAACCCCTTGCTCCCCTACTGGCACCCCACCCCACTTCACCCTCTCATTGTCTTTGACACCCCCAAAAGAATTTGAAAAAAATTCACATTTTTCTTATTGACTCATAACGCACAGGCGTTCCAGATGGTTGCAAATTCGCTCCAAATACAACCAAATTTCAAAATTTTCCTGGGGGAGAACCCCCAGACCCCCCTGAATGCTAGGTTTTTTATTCACTCAACTCTTATTCCCGTGGTGGTGGCGTACTACTTAGAAACTTACACTTTGAAAGTGCCCAGAAAGCACCAAATAGCATCTCAAAACAGTAAAATTTTCTAGGGGGAGTGGACCACTCCTCACACCCCCCACAAAATAATTGGAACATTTGGAAGTTGCATGCATTTGTTAATTCCAAACCAATATAGGGGGTAACTGCCCCCCCCCCTCTGTCTTACGCGATTTGATTTACGCGGCAAAAAAATGACAATTTTATATTAGTAAGCTAAAAACCGCACCCCCCTTGGAGAAAAGTGTCTTACGGGCCTGATTATGCATGTATGTTCTCCCCATAGACATAGTCTAGTTTTAATTTTATAGATCTAGATCTACACATATTCTATAGACATGTGGTAAAATCTGATTTGGGGTCTTCTTCCCCCATAAATGTTGGGTTGATTTTTCAAATCACCCTCACAACTCTTGTGCGTTGAAATCTTGGAGTTGAAAATGTTGTCAGTAGTTGAATTTTATCTAAAGAACCAGCGGCACTACGCCAGACTAACCCAGCTTATTTTCAACCTCAAGATTTCGCACGGAAATGGTTTTCAACGAGCCAATCAAATTATGGAATATACATGTACAGACTTATGTGTGATCAAATAGCTAGTTAAACATGCGATTCATTGCTCATTAAAAAATAGTTGTCTTTCTGAGCGAGAGCAGGCTTCGTTCCCAGCCTTGGATTTGTTGATCTTTCAGAAATGGGGGTTGTTCCCGGCCAGTGGTTCGTTTTACAATGATAGAGGGTTTGATGTAAATGGGGGAAGGGGTTGTACGAGCTCCACAAACCCCCTCTCACTATGCCTATGTATTAGCTAGATCCCTCTGCTATGTTCTACATAAGAAAGAATAAGCTACATAATAAGATTTAAATGATATAAAAAACAGAATTTTTAAAACCTGTCGTAGAAGAGATCAATAAAAGCTACAGTAAAATGACTCAGAAGCACTGATATATTGTGCTTAATTATCTTCAGACAAAACATAACTGTATTCTAGCATTCTAGGCCTAGCTTTGCACATTGTTCTTAGTTCTAGAGTGTCAACAGGAATTGCTGTTCACTTGAACCTAATCAGACAAGAGACAATTAAGTACTAATTTCTCTATCCTATTGAGCAAGAATCTCATATTTTCCAAATTGTTTATTTTGTTATTTTACAAATATGAATCTGAGAGGACATTTTATGGGCTTTTCCAAGATTAGTTGAGGTTGCAGAGCTCACATATAACTTGGTGATTCACTATGAGTGATATCAGGAATTATAAAAGAATTTCTGTCACAATGACCTCGCTTCCAATATATCGCCTGATTAGGAGAAAGTTTAGCACAAACTTCTGAAACATGGTACAATGGCATTGTTGAGCTATTGAAATGCTTTGTAGACTGACACAATGACAATTGTATTCATCTCATTTGTCATGAAGGTAGCTGAAGTCTTGAACTTTGCATAAAAAATTGAAGAAATTTTGTATCAACATTAAATTGAAACATTTTGATTTTGAACAATATATTCAAACCATCATATGTAAATATCCAAACAAAAATATGACCTTATTTATCAAGTATTGATACTTTAAAACATGAAAATTGCATCAATAGCCTTATCATACAGATTTACCTTGAGAATATTTTCCTTTCTCAAACTATATAAAGCTACATGTAAGACAATTACCAAATTAGGAAAAGGAGAAGGACCAATGAGTGCAGTAAAACCTGGCTTTGTAGAACACCTTTAATACCTATAAAAAGTATTCCACTTGGGCATTTTGGAGGTGTTCTTTTTACAGGGTTTCATTCAACATTGAATCAGTTGGTCTTGTTGGTTAAAAGTGTTCTACTAACAGACATGTTCATTGTATTTCGAAACACAGCAAGGAAAAGAAACATCCAAGAGCATGAAATAATGAAAATGAAGCCCCATTATCCCAAATTATGATTTTGAATACTAGGAATTAAAAAATGACACTTCCGTCAAACATATGCATTTGGCTGTTAAAAAGAGTTATATTTTTCTATCGTTGCCAGATAATCTTAAAATTAAAGGATTATAGACTAATGAAATAAAGTCAGAACTGTTGACTATTTTACAATACAGGCATAACATGGAATGAGAACTCATCTCAGAGTATCAACTCCATTTCCTTTTAATTACTTAATTTTAGCTTTGTACCCATTCCATATTTCCCAGGGGATTTAGCTATACTACTGTATGTACAAGTTTGACTCATGGCTTTGTTTCTCTGATGATTTGACACGATGTCTGATTTATTGCATTACTAGTATCTATAATTAATGGATGAATTCCCAAGTGTACAATCTATTTGTTTTGTTTAGTATAATGAGGAACAATTTGCAATCGATGCTTATATAATACAGGACATATACGTTAGAGTATCTGGCAACAGGTAAACCAAATTAAAACAACAGGCAAAATTATTATTAATTAAAATATATTATTAATTATTTTTTCATGCAATCAAACTATTGCAATTTCTCTTACTCTTAAGTAGTTGTCACATTAGCTGTGTCGGCTCTAATTTAGGACATTCATTTTTAATTAACCAATTAATTTTTGAATTTGGTGTAAGGGGGATATCATCCTGTAAAACTATTTATTTTGCCCCCCCCACTGTATCCACGTCGTGTCCCGCTGTCTGCCCCAAAGTATTATCACATGACAAATGGTGCGTCACACGGCTTAAGTTTGTGAGCTCCATGAAAACGGTTATCTGGGTTAAAACAAGCCTGTTGCTTGCTTCTATGGAAATTATCCCACAGAGTGACATATTTTCCAATGTCCCATGAAAGACCCAAACATTCGAGCATTCGCTAATCCAGTCTCATAATTTTTTGATACAAATAAAATTTCTCTTAAAACTACAGGTGATTTTGGTGAAAACAACAGAAGAAATTAAAATCACCAGTTGCCCGCTGCTTTTGAAACCCCTGTAATAAAAATGCGGGGAAGTACAGTAAAACCTATTGTATTGAACACATCTGTACGTGGAACACCTCTGTACGTGGAACACCTTTGCATGTGGAGCACCTTTGCAAATGGAACACCTCTGCAAGAGGAATATCTGCAAGTGGTACAATCTTTAAGTGTAACACCTCTAAAAGTTGAACAACTCTGCAATCGAAACTCTTCAGATTTGTATGGCCAACTGACTTAATTTAAATGAACCTTTGTAAGTGGAATAGAATCCAAGTAAAACAATTTTAGAGGTTCCAAAGGTGTTCCACTTACGCAGGTTTTACTGGAACTGCATGTCAAAACCTAATACTAGGGATGAAACGGTCCAGTTCGGTTTGGATCGTTTTTTTTGATTCACCAGCTGTCGGTTCGTTTTTTTCGGTTCGGTTCATTCAATTTAGCTAGCA